ATTGTGATTGTAGACTCTATAATACTTTTTATAAATACTGAAATGTATACTTACAATGATGGTTGAATTTTATGGCATGTACACTATGCCTCAAAAAGCTGTAAAAATATATTTTTTGCGTGAGATAGGTCAAAATATTACTGTCATGCTGCCTGTTATCACAAGTATAACAAAGACAGCTATGGTTAAGCAGAAAAATAAGGCAGAACATGGAATCAATGTAGATTACTCAATAATTTCTACTTAGTTAAACCATTTGATATTCCAACACCATTAAAATTTACTGAAAAACAATCCATCTATCTTTGAAAAAATACCTTGAAACATCCTCTGAAAAAACAAATAGAAATATTATCCTAAATTTCAATTTCTAATTATTTACTGTTTCTTCTCTTTTTGGTCTTCACTTTGTAGACCCTATTTTTTAAATAAAATTTTTAAATAAAAATTTATGTAATCTATAAAGCTTTGAGTCAGAGAAGCAATACTGCTCTGGCTTAACCAACAAAAGATGACCTATAAGATTTTCCATCTTCAATTTTGTTTCACAGTTCAGCAAAAATTATATTCACAAAACCAGATACATACTTTTATTCGATATATTACCTTGTCTGACTTGTCAGCCTAAAGTCAACAATAGACTCCTTAAATAAACCAACTCCTACAATGTTGATGACAGCATCCACATCAGGCTCAGTAGCAACCAACATTATGGGAAACGTCCAGATTCCATCTGTTAAGCACTGTATTTTCAGTGTAATGTTAGTCCTTGAATATAAAAAGAGATTTTTAAAAGATACTACATCAAAACAAGCAAAGAGAATAAATATAGCAAATTAATTATCTAAGGTCAAAATGTAAGTAAACTTGGTGGTTTCAGCAAAAACACTGGGATGTTTAATTCTTTAAAAATGTAGGTGGCTGTTAATTGCATTGTAGGAATAATTTTTAGGTCATAGTTTGTATTATCATTCTCCCTTTGAGGTAATTATTTTTTAGGGCATCTCATCTACTATTTATTTTTGAACAAGCAGTAACATGTGCAGAATGGATTCTGAAAATTTTCTCTAACCAACATACAATGTCACAGTACCTAAGAAACTAAGGTAAATTTGGCAAATGAATTCAAGATTTATACTAGTAGATATTCCATTTGAGTACTTCATATCAAATAAAACACTGTGAGAAAGTCTTTTCAACTCTTGCTTCACATATAAAAATTATATTTTCTGCAAATACCTACAAAGCCCCATATAATTGACAAATTGAAGCTTTTTGAAAATTAAATTGCAATTGGTAAAGACCGTGTACACCTTGGAGAATAACATATAATTGAGTGGCAGTTGAATAAAAGAAGAAAGTAAAGATAGACTTTCAAAGCATTTGGCTGTGACAAAGCGTGAAGAAATAGGGCAGTACTTGGAGTTGTGGAACGGTTATCTGTTTGCTTGGTTAGGGTGGATGTGACTCATGTAGTGGTGTGGTTACAATATCATAAGTCAGGATTAGAAAATGAAATCACAAGCCTCTTACCTAAAACAGTCAGAAAGAACAGTTCTGGGAACTCTTATAGTTCTTAGGTAGGACTGTAGAATTACTCAACCCTTTAGGGAGCAATTGGACAATATCCTACCAAATTTGAAAGGTGCACAGTAAACCTGCTGTTCCACTATTAGTACTTTCCCCTGTACATATGCCTCTAAGATTTTAAGAAGTGCTATGTATAAAGATATTCATTACTGCATTGTTTATACTGTCAAAAAAACTGAGAACAAAATTGTAAAAATGTTTTTTCAATATAGTGCTGGTAAAAATAAAGTGTGTTGCACAGAAACAATCTAATACTATGCAGTATATCTTAGCCAATGATAACTGATGTATCATCTTAAACTTATCCAAAATGTAAACCCTAAACCTATACCTCTCTCACATTCTTCTGCCTTTGCAAAGGAAACTATATTCCTCTCTTTGCACTATTTCAATAGCACTATTTCAAGCACTGATTTTCCTGCTTCTACTTTTGCCACTTTACAAGGAAGAGAAGACTTACATAATTTAGAGCTATTGTTTTATTTTAGTGTTTTGTTAATTAATATTTAACTCTTTATCTTCCAGTGAGCCAGCCTAAATACATTTGGAACAAGAAGTGGCAGATGTAAATGAATATATACATATATGCACAAAATACAATTGTTAAGATCATCACCCAACACTTACAGAATTTTGTGTATTATGTAAACAAGTTGTCCTAAATCAGTTTCCCCAAATATTTATCTTTCAATAGTTTTCTATTGTTTCTAACATAAAAGACCAACTCATAGCATCAGGATCCTATGTGATCAGATCTCAGCCAAACTCATTTCCTCCTTTACTCACTGAATCAGAGAAACGTTGGCCTTCTTAATATTCATTGTTCATGCCAAACACTTCCTGTTCCATGACTTTCCATTTAGTATTTTCTCTGCCTCAAATGCTCTTTCCAGCTGTTCTCTTCTATAAGGTCTTGGTTCAGGCATCACTTCATGGAAGCCTAACTATCCATTTTATCTGATGTACATGTTTTACAGCAACCTATTTCCCTTTATTTATTTCCTTCTTAGGACAATCTGAAATTTGCTTGCCTATCTATACATTTATTTTTTTGTTATCTATCACTATCACTAGATTATATACTTCAACAGTAGAAGAATCTTGTCTCTTTTGTAGTTATTAATTTTTTAAAATAAATTAATGAGCAGGTTTAAATAAATAATGCTGAATAATTCTATTCAACAGACCAATTCTTTGAGTTAGTGAAAAGTTGCTGAGTCAACTTTTTGGACACATAGGGAATGAAACCATGCAATTTCAAGGATGACACAGTGAATGATTTCATAGTCAAAACTGTAGATTTATAACAATGCATATATGTGATATTAATATTTTTTATTCTAAGTTGTCTCCCTCAAACTGTGAAATGGAACTTTGGGGTTATTCTGTTTAGCTCATAGGAGGTAGAAGTTCTAGGAAAATGTCAAGCTAAGGTAATTAGCTTTTCTGAAGATACCATAAGACAAATGAAATCTATCATTTCTCTATTTAAATAATGTTTAGACCTGTGTTAAGTTAGGATCATCAGACTGATTCATAACAATATTAACTATTGATCTCCTGAGTTTTTGTATTAGGCTCTTGATTTTTATAGAAAGAAAAGGACCAAAGGAATAATTTTCCTGTATTTTTTTTGTAAAACCATAATTTAGGACACTGACCATTATTTTTATTATGTACAACACTGTGTTCTGTGAAAGGATGAATGTGAAAAATTACCCAGTATTTACTGTTGTGAAAATGTCATATTTTCTTTTTACCAAAACATGAAAATTTGTTCTTCTTATCTTGCCAACCAAAAAGAAAATAATTGAATTTAATAATTTAATTATCTAAATAAAACATGGTTTAATTATTTTCTTGTTCTTTTAGGTGATTCAAAGCTACTGGTTTTATTTTGGGTTTTCTCACTTAATTGTGTCTCTTGCAATGACTTATCCCAGATACAGTCATGTGCCACGTGACAACGTTTCAGTCAATGATGGACCACATATATACAATGGTGGTCCCATGTGATTACAATACCAAATTTTAATGCACTTTTTCTATATTTAGAGACATGAATACTTACCATTGTGTTATGATTGCCTACAGTATTACATATATTTGTAGCCTAGGAGCAATAAGTTATACCATATAGCCTAGGTGTGCAGTAGGCTACACCATCTAGGTTTCTGTAAGTACACTATGATATTTGCACAATCACAGAATAGCCTTATTATGTGTTTCTAAGAGAGTATCCCTGTCATTAAAATGATGTATGGCTGTACATATGGAAGAAAGAATGATAGTAATGAAATATACATATGTGCACAAAATGGAATCATTAAACTACATCAGAACATCAAACAACAGTCACAGAAACTCATGAATCATGTAAAAAATTGTCCTAAATCATTTTCCCTAATATTCACCAAGAAGTTTTAAATCCACAAAATTTTGAATGAGTATAAATTCACATTAGCTCCACTCATATTTACCAATGATAACATTGTTTCGCTTCTGGTTGCTATTGGTAATTTCCATATGATTAAATTAACATAATACAAAGCTACATGTTAAAAAATACTAACAAACATAGAAAACTATGAAAATGGAAGAAATGATAAAAAGATGTGATGTCAATGTTTATAGTGTACTTTCTTCTTGTAGTTTGATTTTATTACTGCTTTCTGAAGATGGCCCTGGTATCTTTTAGTTATTGAACTACATATTCACAGCCACTTTACATGCATTGCTACATTAAATACGTAGTTGGACTTTAGAAATGATTAAAAGCACAAGTAATACTTTGAATTCTTTTTTCATTGCTAGGTTGTTATGTACTATGTGTACATTGTGGTTGTAATCAGTATGTCTGCATTCAGACACAAATAATGCTCTATTTCAGAATGAAATATCATATAGTATTTGCAGGTAATAAGTATCAATTGTCCAAAATGTAAATATAACAACACTGGATGAGGTTTCCCCCAAGACAGATATCCAAAGCCCACTATTCTCACAGATTCACTTATACTTTACTGAGGGATGTGTAATGCTATGGTATTGAGTGGTAAGAGGTAATGAAAGCTGCAATATAGAACATAGCTTAGATGTTTTTATCATTGGACTAGTTCTGAGAAGTAGTGTCAATAAATATGCTGCTTTTGTACAGTACCAGGTCAGTTTTTTTTTAATTTTACAAAATAGACTATTCTCTTTCTTTAATATGATACCCTAATGACCTTAGGAGGTCACAATTCTTGAAGGTATCTTAGATTTCCAACCATTTGGACTATTTTTTCTCATCAGAATACTTTTCATAGCTTTTCATAGCTAGAAATAATCTAGCCCCAAATATTTCTTTCAACAGCATCAAAAAAGTAATATAACCCAAATATTGACAAATAGAAAGAAAATCAACATTTGGTTTAAAATAGTAATAATATTGTTTAAAGAAAAAGGAAAGGAAAGCAGGTTTACCTCAATGGTTTCTGTGGTGTAAATACCAGCTTGAAGATCAATGTTATCCTTTCATCCTTAATACTACAAGTTTTATCGATCATATATAAAGCCACACAGGGTTCCAAGTGAGATTCCATAACTTCAGATTCAAATTGAATTTCATACTCGAATTCACGTTTTTTAGGCAATTCTAGGAAAATCAAGATTAAAATATACTTCAATTTAATTAGATATGCATAGATTTAACATCAGTGTCAACATTAATCATGCACAGGTGTTTA